AGAAATGTTTGTTTCTACTGGCTGAGTAGATTCTTTGGTTTCTGAATGTTGACTTTAAATGTTCACAGTTCAGCCCTGTATCTGGCAATGGCTGAAAGCTTTTAGTACAAACGTGATGAGAAATTCCATCATTTGTCGCTTGCTTGCATTTCAAAAAGTGTGAAACAAACAAGATATGAGGAAGTAATGGCATGAAGCACTCCTTACAGCTTGGCTTAGCATAATGGCTGGCAGATCTGCTATAGCTGATCTCTAGTGCTGTTGCTACAGGTTGCAATCATTTACCTTGGATCTAGTTACAGTCAGGTAGCCGTGTTAGTCTGCCGTAGTCAAAACAAAATAAAAATAATCGATTCAGTAGCACCTTATCTTCAGATAACAGAAGTGTGCATGCACACAAAAGCTCATACCAATAACAAACTTAGTTGGTCTCTAAGGTGCTACTGGAAGGATTTTTTTTTATTTACCTTGGAATATGACTTAGTTTAAAGTTCAGCAATGTTCTGAACTGAGCACAGTGTCCCCCAAAAGCTCTTCTCTAGCTTGGAATGTAAACTGAACTCCTGAGTAGGGATACTGATTCAGTTCACATTTAAAGGTGGATATGCAAAATTCTCACGTTCCAAAACAATATGAGAATCAAAACAATCGTCCTGTGAAATTCACACTTACCTGAATTTTGTGGTGCAGTTCTCCAAGCAAATAATGTTTAGAAAAATGTATATATTAGGTAAAGGTGTGCATAAAAACAAACATACGTAAAAATAATGTACAAAGATGCACAGTATAGGGGGGAAAGTTTGCAAAAATGTGTGTACAGTGGTACCTCTGGTTACGAACTTAATTCGTTCCGGAGGTCCATTCTTAACCTGAAACTGTTCTTAACCTCAGGTACCACTTTAGCTAATGGGGCCTCCTGCTACCGCTACACCACCGCCGTGCGATTTCTGTTCTCATCCTGAGGTAACGTTCTTAACCCGAGGTACTACTTCCAGGTTAGCGGAGTCTGTAACCCAAAGTGTTTGTAACCCAAGGTGTTTGTAACCTGAGATACCACTGTATTAGTTAAAAGTGCATTAAAAATGTGTTTCTTAGGAGACATTTACGGTAAAATGCTAAATAATTTGTATGAAGATTTTATTTTTTAAAAAAATATATAATCTGCAAGTTACTGCAGAAATGTAGAGAACCAAATTTAAGTTTGGACAAATAAGCATAGCTGTCAACGTTTCCCTTTTTTAAAGGGAAATTCCCTTATTCCAAATAGGATTCCTCGCAAGAAAGGGAAAAGTTGACAGCTATGCAAATAAGAAACAGACAATACTGAGACTGAGAGATTATTCATCCCTATTTCTGAATATACATACTGTAGTCAGTATTCAACAGACCAGGTACAGTACCCCAAGCCAGCTGTCTTGTAGGTTTAAACAGACTGAATGACAACATTAATGAAACAGCACATTTGATATAAAATATCCTTTCAAAATGTGACATGAAGCTGAGAAACCGCTGTGGCTGGGTTCCTCTTAGCACAAAATATGAATTGGAACCAATGCTCAAGGAAGCAGTTAAAATTGTGCTGATGTTGTTTTATGTCTCTATTTTGTTTCTGGACTAACAGGCAGCAGAAGTTCACAAGCATCCTTAGACTCTACCTGCCTTGGCACAACAAACTGCATTCTGCAAGATGGCTCTTTAGCCAGGCTGTCAAGAGTGTTACACATGTTTTACAACAAATATATGGGGCCAATGGTTTGTCTTGATCACCTACCACAATACCAAAATAAAGTGTGCGTGCCTTTCAAACAAGTGGAGTGAAACTTCCTTTCTGAGATTTAAATGTTAATTCTCCACACACATAGCAGAAACTTTTTGGGTGATTTAACGTATTGCTGTGGTATGAGGACAAAGAAAGTACTATGTGGAGAAGCCATATTGGAAAAGGGAATGTTTTGCTTACTTGATACAGCAAACATGTATGAAATAATCATAATTAAAATACAGTGATAAAATCACTAAAACTTTTTAAAAAGATACAGGTCACTAAATCATATGGTTGAGTAGGCTTGGTGAAATAAAGGCGTGTTCAGTCAGCGTCCAAACCACTGTGGTGAGGGAGCCTGCCTAGTGTCAACAAATTGGGAGGGAGTCCCAAAGCACACAAAAATATTTACTTCTCGCAAATGTGGACAAACATTACACAGCACTTTTAAAAGTGCAAGCAGACTTTTCCTTGCATTTGAAAGGGTTAAGACCTTCTCCTAAATCTCTGTTAGTAGAAAAAGCAAGCGAAAAGCACTTTTCTCACTATGTTTACATAACACAGAAGAATGTGGGCATCCATCCATTACTTTCTCAGCATAAAGCTTAGCAAATACATAGATAAAGACACTTTCTCCACCACCTTCGCTCTGCCACACACATACCGCCTGCACAGCCACCTTACCATTTTGACATGGCCATATAGCCAGTGAGCGGGAGGTCCTGGAAAACTGCTGAGAACTTTGACCAGGTACTGTTTTTTCCGATACAGCTGAACAGCTTTCAGGGCCACATAGGCAAAGCTCAAAATAATTGTCAAGTGGAAAATATGAGATAAATCCCAAGGCAGCCAAGACCAAGAAGAATTTAGGACCATCTCTGGAACAGTTTTCACACTCCCACCTTGGTTTACTGTGCCTTCTTCCACTGAGCTGCTATTGCTAAAAGTGCCAGGTCTAGAAGGAGTTCTAGTCCTAATACTGAACACTATCTTTTTGCAAATTGCTGTAATCTCTGGTACATTACCAGGGAAATCAGAAGTATTCGCCTGCAAGAACCACCCACGTACTTTCCCTCAAAGATTAAACTTAGTGACTATAGGAACTGTAATTTGAGTCCAGCCAAAGTCTACTGGGTGGGACCAACAACCAATAACATTCTCCCTTTCAGCTTTCCTTTTTCTCTGCCAAGAAACAGAGTAACAACTATTGTGCCCTTTAATATCTATTCAGTCATAAAAAATGCAGTTCCTAGATGTGACTGTGTTGGATGTGAGTGTGTGTGTGTGTGTGTGTGTTGAGGTCATATAATTACACTCTGCAAGCATTAACCTGAGTTTTATTGTATGAAAGTACAATTATTTATCTAATGTATTGCCATGTCACAAGGTCACAGATCGCACAGCTCAAGCTTCTGATAGCAGGAGCTGAGAAGCACAAGATTTATGCAGGAGAAAACAAAATAAAAATACAGAAATTATGCAAATTTGACTGGAGCTATGAATCAGGGTAAGGGGACTTCGGCTTTTTCCATGGGACATTCTGCCAATCAAAATCATTCCCAAGGATATATACAGTGGTACCTCGGGTTACATATGCGTCAGGTTACATACGCTTCAGGTTACAGACTCCACTAACCCAGAAATAGTGCTTCAGGTTAAGAACTTTGCTTCAGGATGAGAACAGAAATTGTGCTCCAGCGGCGCAGCGGCAGCAGGAGGCCCCATTAGCTAAAGTGGTGCTTCAGGTTAAGAACAGTTTCAGGTTAAGAACGGACCTCTGGAACGAATGAAGTACTTAACCCGAGGTACCACTGTACAGTGCTATTTTTCTAGAAAAAGAGGTGCTGGAACTCACTATGAACACCTCCCTTGTTTTCTTAGAATGGCAGTGGTGGCGGAACTGAGTTCCTGTTAATTCCCTCTGAAAAAAAGCCCTGGATATATGGAACCAGGGGATCCTTAAGGTATCCTGCGTCCATGTTGTTTGGGGCCCTGTAAATTAATGCAATAATTTTGAACTTGGTCCAGTGGGGTATGGGTATCCAGTGAAAGCTTTTAAGCCCCAGAGTTATGTGCTGGCTGTAGTCTGTCCCCACCATCAGTCTAGCTGCAGCGTTATGCTCCAGCTGGGAGATTTTTCAGATCAGGAGCAACGGTAATCTCAGAGACGTCAACAGGATTTCCTGGGCCTGGTACATTGTATGTGGATTGGGCCCCCTGCTGCTGCTTATGTATCTATATTAACATAACCTAGCCCACCTCACAGGGCTGCTGCAAATATAGAAGCAGGTAGGGGAGGAAAATGTACACATTTGAGCTGCTGGGTAGAAAAACAAGTTACAGATATGCTACACAGTGCATAGTTGTACTATGGAATCAAACACGCCACCTGGCGATTGAGGGGGGCCAGGGCCATGTGATGTCTTTACTTGTTCTTACTAATGGTGGCTTAGATGGTCATTGGAACAATTGAAGTCATGTCTGATGCTACCTAAAGAGGAATGGTTCAATAATGTCCTGGATATAGCCTTATCTGAATGTCTTACACAACACAGATGAGTGCTGAGAGAAGTGAAGCAAAGAAATATTGGCTCAAGGAAGTTTGGGTTGGTTCCCCCCCCCCCTTTATTAGTAAGGACACAAAATTCTCAGGCCCTCCCAATATCCATGCTTCACTGGGGGGGCGGGATACACAATACAACTCTTCTAAAATAATTTAACCATTTAACCAGCTACTCTGGCACTGTACTAGGTACTATTATAATCTGTGTCTGTAATTGGATTCTGTTGTGCATGTTTACTTGAAGTTGTTCAACACCACAGCTGCTTCTAATAGAGGCTTTTCCTTCCTTCCTTCCTTAATATCTTACCCTTCCTCCCAATGGAACCAAGGCAGGAAAACACTCAAGCAATTTTTAAATTGGGGGGGGGGGAGGAATTCCAATACAAGTGCAGGCTAGGAAAGATTTCTACTTAAAAGGCTTGTTGGAAGAGGAAGGCCTTTGACAGGTTCTGAAAAACAGCAGGGATGGCACTTGCCTAAATTGCGGGGGGAAGCTATAGCTGTTTGAATTGGTATCATAGCTAATCTGTTCCGGAAGCCCATTAGGCTTCCGAAACATTCGATGACTGAAACATGGCTTCCAATTGGTTGCAAGAGATTCCTGCACTCAAGCGGAAGTCGCGTCAGACATTTGGCTTCTGAAAAATCTGTGAAAGCCGGAGCATTTTTTTTTTTAAATAATATTTATTAAAATTTCAAAAAAAAGAAAAATCACATTAATGAGAAAATTAACAATAAAAAAGAAAAATACAAAATACAAAGAAGAAAAAAACAGTTAAGAACAATTCCATCTTTTCATCACTTCTTTTACATTTACTTGTTTCCCGGACCTCCTCATGCCTCCCTCTTTTGTATTCCAATTCAATTTGTTAATCCAGCAATTCCTTTCCCTCCTTTTTAATCCTAATCTTTAATCTTGATATATTATAACATTAAATTTTTACATACTAGATACCAATTTTTCCATATTCTTTTATACCAGTACAGCTAGAAACCACTTAACTTCAATCCAACATCATTCTATCATTCATTAATTTTACAATATTTCTGTAAATAGTCTTTAAATTTCTTCCAATCTTCTTCCACCGACTCTTCCCCCTGGTCTCGGATTCTGCCAGTCATTTCCGCCAATTCCATGTAGTCCATCACCTTCATCTGCCATTCTTCCAGAGTGGGTAGATCTTGTGTCTTCCAATACTTTGCAATAAGTATTCTTGCTGCTGTTGTGGCATAGAAAGCCGGAGCATTTACTTCCAGGTTTTTGGTGTTCAGGAGCCGAAACATTTGAAAATGGAGCCGTTCGGGAGCAGAGGTTTAACTGTAATATATTTCTCCTGATCTACCAAATAGCGATAAAGATAACACATCTTAGCAGCTCCACAAGTTTTATTATTTACAAGAGTCATGTTCTGTGGTTGACAGAGAATCTATGCAAGCTTTTTTAAATATAAGTGAATCCCATTCCAAGAGCGCATTATGAGCTGAGGTTTCTCAAGGGGAGGATTAGCAGGATCTGGTGCAACTTGGAAGCGCAGCAAAGTCAGAGCAACCACCAGTTTCAACTCCATCATAGCAAACTGTTGCCCAATGCAATTCCTGAGGAAGAAAAAACATTCAAGCTGAAACTTGAACAGGCTCATAATAATTTTTATTTAGTATTTCATGTCATATGAATCATATATAAGCATTGCCACACTTACATGGGGGGCCCCCGCGTGCATAAGGCACAGAGCCCCCCACAAACGCCTTTTCTGTCACTCTCTCTTCAATCCATACCAAAAATACGGTATCCAAAAATATCCTGGGGCTGGCAGGAGGCTGAAGGACACACAAGAAAGCAGCAGCTACATCAGCTGTTAGACGGAGAGGCTGGACAGCACAAACAAAGCCTTGCTGCACCTCTGGCCTTTATTGAGGCTTCCTCTGCCCTCGCTGAGGGTCTCCTCATGAACTAGGAGGACTCTACAGCTCTCTCCTGCCATTTCCAGGCATGAATTGGATTATTTAATTATCTCCTGGTACTTCACGTATGGGGAGTCACCTGTTCTGCTTGATTGTAGAAATAAATCTCAAAGTGGTTTACATACAAGATAAAACAATAAAAATTTACAACCATGATTTAAAACATACAGGAAGCTAGCAACAGAATAGCCCACAAACAAATTAAAACTCATACAAACTTTCTAAACATTTTGGTACGTGTGTCTAAACAAGAATGCAGGTGCTGAAAACCCATAAACCCTGAACCTGTGTGGTTTCTGCAATTTGCAACCAGCTCCTCAGCTGTCCTTGTTTATTCCAGCTGCAGAACTAATGGGTTACTAGAATATGAAATGAATGAAGAAGTGATGGTACATGGGAAATGGGATATTTTGGTGTGGGGGTGGAAATACCTCTAGAGAAGCCTTTCCTAATCTATGGCTGCCCTACGGCCACTTTGAACCTCAGCTCCAGCCAGCAAATTCGTGCTGATGGGAACTGTTTTGCCAGCTTGGCAAAACCTGTTCTGAAGCAATGGGGCGTTTCCACAGAGGGCTTAAATAAAGAAGAATTTGGATTGTAGTGCAGGATTCCTGATCCTCAGTTATGACCATCTAAGTCCTTACAATAATCCATTCATACTAACCACATTTTGAGTTTATTTTTAATCTTGGGTGTTTGTTGTCATCACAGGCAGAATATATCCACAGTAAAACTATTTCTTAAGGATCCATGAATCCATGTACTAAGTGCAATAGTGTGCTAAATTAAGAGCAAGATCTGTGGTGTGTTCAGACAACTGCTTCACTATGGATGCATTTAACCCATAGAAAACCCCCCACATGGATTACCCTGGACTTGGGGGCAGAGGCAACCCAAAGAGTGTGGATTGGTCGTAAAGCCTCAGTAAACAGAACACTTACACAGGGACCCCTTTATCGGGGGAAAAGCTAATCTTTCTGGAAAGATGACTCTGTTCATTTCTAAAAAAAGAGAGAACAAACCTTCTGTCCCATGGAAGGGGGCTGTTATGTTCTCCTTGTCACAGTATCAGTGAGAACCAGACACAGGTAAGCAGCAATCCATAATTCTGAGGATGAACTTCACTCATTGATCATATAAATCAAGTTTTGCTTTGGCTGACTATCTTTCATCTTGCTTCTGTCTATTTTCAGTGAACAACTTTACATCATTAGTTGTATTACCTGGGTCCAGCAGCAAACGGCAAAAATGCATAGGGATGTCTTTGAGATGAATTATCGGATGAAAACCTTAGAGGATCAAACACCTGAAAGAGAGTAAGACTGTAGTTATCAGCAGCTTGCATCAGCAATGAGATGTACTTGGACCTGCTTCATGCATGCATGCTGATCATTGGATTACTGCAGTATCAAGTGATATTGCACAAGTGAAGAGACCATCACAGTCACAACACCACAAGAGGAGCTTTCACTCTTGTAAAGCACAGTGGTTTTCACTGAGGTCACTTGATGCATTCAGATGCCACTGCCAGACATCAAAGACAGAATTCAAGTGATGTACATGTATATGTGGGCTAGCCTTCAGTTTGGCAACATGGATGTGCATAGACATGTAGAAAGTTGCCGGGGGTTGAACCCAGCATGTACTGCATCTCAAGTTTGTGCTCTGAGCTATAGCCCTTCCTCATTACCCAAACGCCCCTGCTTTTTCGGCAATGTCTTTTTCTCTCAGGGTTATTGTCATCTATTCCAGTAGCTCATCCATACTACTTTCTACTATCCCACAGCTCTGTTGAAAAGGCTGTGCAAAATAGGCTTAAAAGTATGTGGCAATGTCTGGTGAAATCTCCAAGCTGTGGCTGAAGGTTTCCATCCAGTGGGCAGGGAGAAAATGAGTCTTCAGTGCCCTAGATAAATGTTCCCCATGGCCAACAGAAGCAATGTACATTATGCAAGTTAAATTAAGCAAGAGTACAATGTGTATCATTTGCAGAAAAATTAAAGGTTGCAGAATTCTTCTTTTGTGGTCTAGAGAGTCAGTGTGGTCCAGTGGTTAAGAGCAGTAGACTCGTAATCTGGGGAACCGGGTTTGCATCTCTGCTCCTCCACATGCAGCTGCTGGGTGACCTTGGGCTAGTCACACTTCTCTGAAGTCTCTCAGCCCCACTCACCTCACAGAGTGTTTGTCGTGGGGGAGGAAGGGAAAGGAGAATGTTAGCCGCTTTGAGACTCCTTCAGGTAGTGATAAAACGGGATATCAAATCCAAACTCTTCTTCTTTTCAGAGTTACTTTGGCTAAGAAATTTTATTGTTATTTATTTTTCCTTCCTGTATTTTCAGTCACAGAATGTTTATTGCTCTGAATATGCATCCATGCTGCATCTGCTTGATATTGTCTGTACATCAACACAGGGCAATCAATGCAGACCCGCCAAGTGTCCCTATTTTCCAGGCACATCCCTGATTCAGAGAAGTTTCAGATTTTATCCCAGAATGTCCCACTTTCCCTTAGGATGTCTCTATTTTCACTGGAGAAATGTTGAAGGGTATGGAGTTTTCTGACCCCCGAGCCATCTGAAGGCAATCCTGTATAGGGATTTTTTTTTAATGCTGAATCCTGGGAGCTATAGTATATTAAGGGTTCTGGAAATGGAAGCTCTGTGAGGCAGAAACAACAGTTCTCATTATTCTTGGGGGAGGAGTCAGCTGCTTTTAGTGTGCAATAAACACACTTTAAATGTGCATTCAACATGCTCTAAACCATTGACCAAACAATGCTCCAGAGCATAAATACCTGAGGATCCTCCCACACGTCAGGATTTTTGTGAAGAGCATAAATATTCAGGGATATCAAAGCACCTGTTAAGGATTGGAGGGAAAGGAGAGAAATATCTGATTAGTAAATGGAAGGTGGAACACACCACAAAGTTGTGTTTTCAGTGCTGCATTGCTGGATTGCAGAAAGGCCCCAGGGAAGGATTGCTTAAGATGCAGCTGTTATGGCATCCCAATGCATTTTGTGGTATTTGTTGCTGAGTTACTTGCATGTTGGTTACAATGCCTTAGTGAGGATTTGAGTCTGCTTTCATTAAGACATGGTCATTCTCTGAGGTGACAAAGAGTTTTGCCAGAACTCATGAAGCAGATAGATGAATCTGGAAGTCCTCAGGGTGACTTTATACTTCATTTTTATTTATTTTGTCATTCCTTGACCACAGACAGTTTTACAAACTGCCTCCAAAGTGGTGCATAGTTTAATATGTAAATATATATGCAGAGGAAGATATGAAGATGCCTTATCCTGGCATTGGCTTGTCTAATTCAAACTTGTCTTCAGTGAGGCAAGGATCTTAGCCAGCCATACTTTAAAATTTGGATATGGCATACTTAGGAGCCTGACAGAGGATGTGTATTTCCCACACATGGATATTTCCTATTCAGCTTGGAAGTTCTTAATGTTGTAGTTTAATGAAGTTGCCCTAGTAACATCCCAAACCTTGTGTCTTGCCTCGTTAGTTCCAGTGTCCTAACACAAAGAACTTTTGTAGTACAACTTCTAAGCCTCTCAACAGCCTTTAGGGGCACATGACTCCAAAGTCAGATAGAGAATTATATCCTTCAAGACAACTGAGCAAGTCAACCCTATCACCCCATCATGCCAGATACTTGTCACAAAACCAACAATCGGGACACCGGTGCCACTCTTTCAGTTTCCATCCTTCATGTCTGTCATTGAAAATACTGTGAAATGTAATCAAACATAATGAGGCAGACCTGCAGGCAATGTCTTTCCATCAGGAAATGTGACTGGTTTGTTGAGCTCTCGGTACACCTGAGGAACAGGAGGATAAACACGGAGGCTTTCCTTAATACACATCGTAGTGTAAGTCATCTTACTAAGGTCATCCCTGGGAGAAACAAAGAAACAAACTGTGAGGAAGATTCACAAGTGACAAGAAGACAAAAATATTCCACAGAAAGTGGAGTAGAATATTAAAAGACGTGACAAAAAAGGAGATTTGAGCATCCTTGCATATTCTGCATTTATGTTGTTGTTGTTGTTTAGTCGTTTAGTCGTGTCCGACTCTTTGTGACCCCATGGACCAGAGCACGCCAGGCACTTCTGTCTTCCACTGCCTCCCGCAGTTTGGTCAAAACTGCATTTATACATGCAGTGAAATAACTAAGGGAGAACTTGAATATGAGACACATGTACCTCTCCCAAACAAATTAACCTTCAGCATTAACTATGAATCTCAAAATGCTGAAGCATGACACACTCTCACATTCATGGAGGTCAGCACTATTTGCAATTTCTGAAGCAAACTGAAACTTTTTGTGGCATCTTACCTCTCCAAAGAGTTCCCAGGTATTAACCAGGGTTTTCAAAAATCTAAAACTTTTCCACTTCAGGTCTGACAAGAGAGTCACAGATTTGCTTGGAAAACAGTAAAACTTGCCCTGCTTCAGCAGGGATCCTCACAAAAGAAAAACAGATAGTGAGCGAAGGACCTTCTCACCAGCACAGAGTCTCTCGCTCTCCAAGAATCTCCTTTATCTCCTCCCTGCATTTTTGCTGGTGCGCTGGATTCTGGGCCATGGCATATAAGGTCCAGGAAATCCCGCTGGTGGTGGTATCGTGACCCTCAAAGAGGAAAGTGTCCACCTCAGAACGTATGTCTTCATCAGATAATCCCTCACCATTTACATCCTGGAAAATGGAGAATGATCAAGGTCAAAAGCCACGGAGGACTTGCTTTGTTTTCCGTCACATGCAGCCACTTGCCTCCTTCATGGGATTATTGATTATTTTAAGTAAGCCACTCTGGAAGCCCTTTTTGGCTGGGCAGTGAGATAGAAACACTGTAAACCAATGTATCTAAGGGACAAGACTGTTGGCTGCATACATGCATATATCCCTTATTTGGAAATACATGATGTGGATTTTACTCACCCTGGCACAGAGAAGAATATCCAGAAAGTCTAGATATCTCTTCTTTTGGATCTTCTCAAGTTCCCGTTCATCTTTGAGGAGTGCCTTTCTTTCCCTAATCACCTTTTCTGTGTCAAAAAAGTAATAAATCTAATAATTTCCCCAAACAGACATCATGACATTCACTGCTTCTATGTAATTTTCTGTATGTTACTAACCTTAAAAGGATGAAGAAATTCCCATAGTGGGACAGGACTTAAAAAAAATCGGAAAATGTTTCTTTTTAAAAATACATTGAATTTTCCATAAGGCTTGCCATCACCATCTAATGTCACATTGTATATTGCACTGTATAGCTGTATAGCTGAGTCCATGGTTAGGACTGTTGTTACTAGACCTGCTGGAACAAATATTTGCAAACAAATATTTGCAAACATTGCTATTTAACTTTGGATGTGACATTCTGAGTTTGAAATGTAAAACCTTAACCTAAAAATTGGAAACTCACATACTTTAGACTTGCTAGCATCTTTTGATTGACTTGATTTTGTCAGAAATCATATATGAAACCTGACATGTTATCAACTATCAAATATTCTTTTTTTTTAAAGTCTACACATCAGTTTATTTTGGGTGGCATCTAACTAAGCCATTCTCAGAGCAAACCCAGGGTTTTAGGTTTTAGACAGCAATAAAGACATCCTTACATAAAGACAGCATAAAATAGTTTATGGTCCACATAAGTTTACAACAATAGTTTACAACACAGGTAAAAAATGTGGGTGAATAAAAAAGATCTTCTGGTATTGAAAAGACTGTAAAGCAGGTGCCAGGCGAGTCTCTCTGGAGAAGCTATTACATATCTGAAGTGCCACTGTTGAAAAGTCAAGGGTTTAGGAAACCCCTGAGAGGCATCAGAATTGCTCAGCATCCCCCCACCCCCAAGGAGAGCCCAGGTTGACTTTCTGCAGATTAAATTTTGCAGTTGGGTTCTGCTTGGGGTCTGGTAGCTGGCTATCCATGCCCTTGGGGTGTTATCGCACAAGCCTAACCATATCTGCTCAGAAGTAAGATCCATTTAATTCAATAGGGCTTACTCCCAGGTAAGTGGGGTTAGGCTTGCTGCCTTAGCTATGTACGTACAGGTGTAGATCCCTCCACTGAAGAGAAGAACTAAAGGAAATACCTGTGTGGCGATGGGCTATTCTGCAAGCCTTGAAGAAACGGTATCCATGAGGACAGATGCGATAGATTAGATCATTGTGATAGAGAAATGTCTGTATTCTTTCCTGCATCAAACAACTGAGGTCACTAATTGCTTGGACATATGTATTCTTACTAGAGGAGTCAAAGAAAGAGTTTAATTGAGAGGTGATTATTTTCAACAAAACAAAACAATGTAGTTTATTTATCACATTCAGTCTAACCCCACCTGTCCTCTAAGAAATAGATAGTCTTGCCCACCATCGCCATTTTATACTCATAACAACCTTCTGAGGCAAATTAGTCTGAGAGAGCAAATTATCGTGGCTGAGTCCTAACCTAATCACTACACCAAGGAAGTGATGCCTCCTGTCCCTAAGGAGGCAGAATTGCGACTACACCTGAAAAAAACTACCCTGGAACCAACAGTTTCTAGACAACTTCTTTCCGGTCACTAAACCCCATTTTTGTCCAAAGTAACTGTTAGTACAACTGTCAGTAGTAGCAGCACAACTGCAAGCATTCTTGGTGGATAGTGATTAGTTAGACCCATTCCACTCTGGATTGTAACATGGGACTTGTGAGAGACTGCCCATAGGCCTGGAAAGAACAGGTGCAGGGGTTTCAAGTAGTTTCTGTGCACCTGATGCTCACGTGGATTGGTTCTCACTAGACAATGATTTATATAAGAAGTGATTCCACACACCCCCAATGGTTCTCTGGTTCATCTATAAACTGGAGTTAAATTTTCCCTTGTCTTTACGGTAAGTAATAATAATAATAATAACAATTTATTATTTAGACACCGCCCATCTGGCTGGGTTTCCCCAGCCACTCTGGGTGGCACCCAACCAAATGTTAAAAACAATACAGCATTAAACATTAAAAACTTCCCTAAACAGGGCTGCCTTCAGATGACTTTAAAAGTAAAATAGTTGCTTATTTCCTTGACATCTGATGGGAGGGCATTCCACAGGGCAAGCACTCCTAAGTCTCTCCCCTCCCCCCCCCCCCCAGTTCTCATGATACCTGTCAAGCTGGCAATTGCTTTGATAACTGAAGATACACTTCAGCATGCTGTCCAGTGTCATGGACCCAACATGCTGGAAAATATCCAGTGATTTATCTTCTGAGATCAGCCTTTCCCATTTATCCTAATGTAAGAGAGAAAGGTTTCACATGTCAAAAGTAAATTCCTCAGATGATTAGATTTCTGGCATCCACATTTGAGCCATCCACCCATGCTGCTGCCATGTCCATATAACTATACGGAGAATGAGCAGGGCACACCATCCATTTCTTTATTTAGTACATTTACAATTCACGGTAAAAACATTTAGGCAGATCATTCGACACCCGGGTGATTTCCCCCACAACCACAAATACCACAAAATCCCTCGTTGCAATTATAGATTGGAGAGAGAACGTGGCAGTCATCTAAACACTAGTGGAGCAATCAGATTTGCGTGATTATGATCATGTACAAACCAACCTAGCATGTGTAGTAAGCAATGAATTCTTATTTTTATATATTGTGGTAGGATGGTTTCCATTTATCTGTAATGTGGAAGCCCTGGCAATGCCCATCAACCTGGGGCGCATGGCCCCCTCAAATATTTTATTGGGTGGGCTGAAGGGACTTGTGCCCCTAGGAGTTGGCTCCTCTGGTGCCTATATTTTTTTCCTGTTTATGATTCCCCCCCCCAAAAAAAAATCTTATGCAACATACAATGTACGTATGATCAGTTAGTGAGTTAATAGGCTATGTTTATGGCACAAGTAAGGATGGCAGCTGGTGAGCTTGTGGTGTTGTTTGTGTGTGTTGTGGCCTGTATTTTTAACACTATGTCTAAATATAATTCCATGATACCCATTTCCTTTGTTAGGCAGATTTCTGGCTAATACTCCATGACTGTCAGCTTTTCCTCAGTGAGAGCTAATTGAGAATCAATGTTTGTGCTTGTATGAGGTACCCATCTCAGCTTGGAGGTAGTGGTGACACTCATCCTCTAGCTAAGGGAAAGGTGTGTGTGTTTGGAAGAGGTAGAGGCAAAGCTATGAATTTGTTGAAGGCAGAGTCTCTTTAGGGTGATCTGACGTGGAGCCACATATATGGTACCTTGTAGGACTGTCTTGTTGCTTTCCCTGATGCTTTACTTATGTATTTGAAAATAAAGCAAAGGATTTTGAAATGTATTTGAAAATAAAGCAATGCTTGAATCCTTTAATAGTGCTAGTCCAAGACATTTTGCTGAATGAAATAGTACTCTAGAATCCCAAGCCAAACCTCAGGGCCAATACTAAACAGCTACAAATTCATGTCTTCATCTCACCATCAGGTTGATGCCTGAAACAGGTACATTCATCTTGCTGCATGAAAGTGCTGGGCTTGTACTCCCTCATCCAAAGGAAATCAAACCTGGTGCTGCTGCCCCTGGAAGTTCCCAAGGCTCAGAGGAGTACAACAAGATGGTTTAAGTTTGTGAATAAGCTATGAATAGGATCAACATTTCTGATCAAGGTTTCCAAATTCTAGGTTGGTTGGTACCAGTGCACAAAGTTCAATTGCCATGCTGGAATAGTTTAACCCAGTGCTTTTTTTCCTTAAAAAAATGTTTTGACTCAAGAAAATCACCATTTTATAGTTCAAAGCGGGGAAAATAAATACAGTAAATGGACAAAAGTGCAAAGATACACAAAATGTTTAGGGGTATGTGTACCCCTGCATACCCCCAGAAAAAAAAAGAACTGGTTTAACCACAATACTATTGGCTTAATCTTCTATTAGATATAAGAGAGAGGTATTTTGGTGTGTGTTTTTTAAAAGCCCTTACCAGCATCACTTGGGTGGAATCGACCATCAGTACCACATATGACTTTAAAATATCACTGTGAAATGCAGGAGTCAACAGTCGCCGGTGCTGGAACCATTTGGGCCCATCTAATACCAGTAGCCCTTTCCCTAATATGGAACGAAAAAGCTAGTCAAATCTCTATTTTGTTAGTAATCTCTGCAGAACATGTCTGAACAGAGGCATGCTAAAAAGATTTAAAATTCCATGCCCAAACCCATCTAATCCTGCAACTTATACATCTGCATTTTGTACTCTCAATAAATGGCATACAGAGATTGTTGGCATTAACGTGGATCATCACGTTGATCTCCACCCTGCTACCACAAAGAATTCAACCATGGCAATTTCTGGAATTGCAGAAGAAAGGAGTGGCCCAAACAAAAGGAGACACAGCAGTCATGATGGCGGACTTTAACACAGGAAACAAAGGGGTATACTTTAATAGGAATTGGATCTATGCTTGCATTGTAGTAAGGGCTTCAATCTGAACAGGGCATTATTATACAAGATACTTAGCATAATGGTTAGTGACATGCACCGTAACCTTATCCAAAGTTGCTCATACGTTGTCTTCCCAAGAAGATTACTCAGTTCTTTAGAATAGATGCTAGTGGTCTAACATAAACAAAACACATTGCATTAATGGAATGTGAATAGCTGCCCTTCCCCTAATGAGGTCAGCCAAGGGACAGAAAGTCCAATATTTGCTTGAAAGAGCAATAAGAGCTTAAATCCCCTTGACACCTCTGAGGTATGTTGCTGTCACTTACATTAAATGCAAGGACCAATGCAATAACAAGTTGTACATATTCACAGCAGTGACTGGAGGAGGAATGACTGCTGGGAGGAGCGCAGAAAGAAGAAAAGCCATTGTACACCTGCATCAGCACAACTCTCCTGTATTGGTCTCAATACAGCCACAGCAGGCTCTGTAACTCCAACAGTTTGACTTCATCCCCAAAGGCCCTCTTCCATTGCCTCCCAAGTCAGATGGATCCCAATCAACGTTTCTCTTATTTGGCTGTTCTTTGGAGCTCAGTGTTCTGATTTTATGATATAGATTGATAGTATGCCATGGGTAGAGTACATCACATGAGGATGAGGAAACTCCTTGTTCACATTTAATCAGGGATAGCACCACAAGAAGAATCCCTAAGTTAAGTTAATTCATCTAACTCTGGAGTACCCGGTGTGGCACCTGTGGGCACTATTGGATCACTGGTGCCTGCTAGAGCTCCCTCACCATCCCATACTTGCTTGGTTGTTTTTTTTAAAGTGATAACCTTCCCCCCCCCTTTCTTTGTGTCTTCCTTGTTTTAGGCTCTGTGCAGGTCATTTTAAGGTTGTTCTTTTCTTTTTGGAGGGACTGTTCTGAGCACCTTCAAATTTTTCTTCTGTGAAATGGGTATTTGGGGGCAGTTCCTTACCATTTCCAGATGTGCCCCAGGGCCTAAAGAAGTTGGAGATTCCTTATCAAAATGTAATAAGCAAAAGCATAGTGCTACTTACCGATCCATGGGAGAAAAAAATTGTAGAAATCAAGAGCCTTCGGATCTGCAACATTCAAAAAGGATGAGTGCATTGAGCAATACAGAAAAAGAAAGCAGGATATTTTAATATTTTTTTAAAAAATAAATCAGTGGGTCTTTTCTGAGTATGGCTAACATTGGTTGGATGCAACCATTAGCAAACAAGTAGCCCAGGGAAAGCATAACAAAATGGAATGATGGACACAAAATGCTGAGGGCTGGCTAAACTAGTAGAAATATGTTTATTTTTATTTAAGGAACATTTACGAAACTGCAAAAAAAAAAATTATCATGGAAAAATAATGGCTTATTATTGCCTTTCCCCCTTTTGTTATTGTAGTTTCATTCCCCCGCCCCTTATCTATATGTTGTTGTTGTCCTTAAATCTATTTTAAAAAGTTTTTTTTAAAAAAAACAAAACCACACAATCATATAATTTATAATTAATACCCTCCATCTTAACATTCTATTTGGGGTTGCTTTCTAAATATCATGTTGACACACACGCTGAATTAATGACTAAGGATATGACTTTTTTTAAAGCACACACACATGATGCTGATCATGATGCTCTTGTACATCTATTTTCATCACAAGGTGGACAAGCATCAGAGCCAGAAGCAGGAAGTTCTGCTTCCAGAAACACTAACTCATTTTCCTCTTCCACACTCATACATTATTTCAGGCATGTCCAAAGTCTGTTTTAGGGGCCTAATCCCGCCTGCCGGTCAGTTCAATCCTGCCCCCACAGGCAGTTCCTCCCCGTAGCAGTGGTGGAGCTTCATGCTCCGGCACCGGGGGGCGTAGGGCAGGTGGGGGCAGAGCTGGCGGTCAACAACTTTGGTCGGCCCTCATGAATGTTCACCTCATCAAATCTGGCCCTCTTTGAAAAAAGTTTGGACCCCCCTGCATTATCTCCTCCCTCCCTCTCTCACACACATTCAAGATACTCATACATGCTGTCACAGGCATATGCCACACATGCACTTCCAAGAATAAATAGGGAGAATGAAATGCTGTGTCCAGATCTTTAACAATGCTTCTCCCTCCCTTTGCATCTCCTCAGTGAAATGAGGAGATCAAAACATCGCTGAAGATAAACAGAGAACCTTTCTCCTTTCCTCTCCTGCAAAACTTCCATACTGAGGTATGAAGGCATAAAAAATGTAGTTGCCTGCTCTTCAAGAAACACATAGAGACCATGTTTCCCTTCCCTTCCAACCATCTCCATGCTGATATGAGGAGGAGGAAATGTCATTGATTGATCTCCACTGAAGATCCCCTTTCCTCCGGGGGGGCCACTAGGGGCGCATTGGAAGATGGCCGACAATAACATCTCTCCGACCCACACGAGGTAATTAAGAGGCTGTGATGGGAGTAAACAGCCTCCCTGCCCCCCCCAAGGGAATGGGGGGGACTGCCCTTGCCTGCTGTGCCCATATATATCACCCCCGAACTTGAGGGGGTGGGGGCACTAGGCAGAAAGCCCTTGTGTGGATTTCGGTTCTCCTGGACGCTGTCTCTGATTCGCGCCACTAGCTGCAGCAACTTCAAAAGAAGCAATTAGGAAGAAGCAAATGCACATATTTCAAGGAAGAATGGGGAGTAAAGACTGCTAATTGAAGGGATCTCTGAGAAAGAAGACGGGTTCGGATAAGCAGGAATATATCATGAGAAGACACACCAAGGCTCGGTATGTCGGCAACGGGACTGCATGGGGGGGACAACTTTCCTTTCTTTCTTCTATGTGATAAACCAATAATCCCCCCCACAAGTCAGAAATGCCGCTTAAATGACCTAAGCTGGAAGATTTAAGACTGTGTGGAGATAATTTCTAACCAAAGCATGTTTTAAGGAGATCGTGGAAAAGTACAAGAGCTTTGGGATGACGCAGTAAAAAACAGTGTCGCCATTTTGGCAAGTTCTGTCAAAAGATTTATGTCTGGGACGAGGAATGCATTTGTTTTCATACTGCGGGCGAACCTCTTCAGAGGACTAAAGAAGGCGACAGATTTGTGAAGATTAATGATGGAAAGAGTGCTTTTATTTATGGAAGTGATGATATATGGAAACCATCTCGATATGGTTATTGGACGAACGGAAAAATCCACACAGGATTATAATTTGTGTTTACCTGCTTAAGGAGATTATCAGAAGAAATCACAAAGAAAAAAGAAAAATATATGAAAATAACAAGATGAGATGTGGGAACAGCAAGATAGGACTGGATAGAATTGTGAATATTATTTGGACAGATTTGTGGACATTAATGCAGCAGCAAGAAGATGATTGGAATCCCCTTCGGAACTTGAAATATAATTCGGAATTTATGTGATGTGATTTGATTTGATTTGATTGGTCGGTTAATAAAAATTATTTTTTTTAAAAAAAGAAGAAGATCCCCTTTCCTCCAGTAATCTGAAATGTAGGCTCTAATAATCAATCTATGCTCTCTCTCTTTTCCATCTTTCCTCTCTGGCCTTCACTTTTCACATTTAAATATATCTCTGTTACATTCCTGAGTTCATTTCGGACTTTTACCATCAAGTTTAATCAACTTAAGCTGTTGTTTTTAATCCCTGGGATACTTAGAAAAAAGGGTTTTGCTTTTCAAAATTGGCTGTTCTGAGTTGGATGGGGTCTCAGCTCTGCTACTACTTCTGCTGGCTAGGGAAGGAAGGATCTGTCAAGTTTGGTTCTCTCCATGTTTCATTTTTCCAGTCTGACTTTCAATTATCCACACATTGCTGCTATTTGTATTTTAATTTTTTAAATAAAAATCCTCACGAAACTTCATCAGCATTTTAGTGCAAATTTCTCAGAGTAAACAAATTTTTTATGCAGTTTTGATGAACGTACACATTTCTGCAAGCCATCCCGTAACATTATGCATCCTTGTTGTTATTTTCACTAATACCTTCACTTTTATGCACACTTTCCCCTAATATATATTTTTAATAAACATCTGTTAGACTACTGCATTGCAAAAATTCAGATACCTGCAAATTTCAAAGGATAGCCATGTTTTGGTTCACAAATTCGGAAACTGCGGAATTGATAATTTGGTTTTAAATGCCTACAGAATCCAATTTCTTCAGCATCTCTATAACTAGCTCCCACTGTCTTGCTAGAATGATCATGCAAGATCTTATCAACCAAAGGCAGAAGTAACAGTGAAAACAGCTGGAGGCAACAGAGGAAGGTGTGCCAACTGCTGCTACAGAAGTTCTGTTAATTAAGAACTAGGAATTGAAACCAAACAGAATTTGGCAGACAGCTCTCCAGAAACTCCTCAAAATACATAAGAATAAGTAAGGGGCACCTGGAAAATGCTAGGAAAGCTGTGTTGGTTGTTGTTTAAATGAAAACCATTTTGCCACCTCATATATGTAGTAAGGAGCTGAAAACAAACATATGAAGCCCACTGATTATTCCTACAAATAAATGTTAGGAATAATAATGTTGTAGAAGGTATAAAAGACTCAAGAGCTGAAGTGACCTTCAGCTAAAGTAGTGGATTGGAATCCTTCTGTTATCACACCACTTCATAACAGAGTCGGATTTCTTCTCAGAAAACCTTTCTTTCTTTCAAAAGCTTTCTTTCAAAAGCTGTTGAAGTGGTCTGGCAAACATTTTCCAAGCACACAAAGTATTAGCTTTCTACTCAGGGCCAGAGGCAGCAGTTGGTATCACTGGAGAACTCACACCCCAGTAAAAGGCCCGCTGCCAGTTCCTGGAGCCTCCTGGCCATCTTCCTCCTCCTCCTCCTCCTCCTCTTTACTATTACTGCCTGATCATCTGATATCTCCAAACAAGCAGTTTGCTATTACTGCCTGATCATCTGATATCTCCAAACAAGCAGTTTAGGATTAAGGACAAGGAACATGCCTTGTGTTCTCTTTCTCTGGAAGATGGTGCCAACTGAGCCCAGAAGCACAGGGAAGTGAGAGGACAATAGTGAAAAGGAAGAGCAGGTGGGCACACTCAGGGAGCAAAACCCAAGGGTTCCCACAAAACCCAGAACTGGCACTGATTTTACTGAGCGATATAGCAGATACAAGAAACATATCAACCACATAAAACATCAGTCTTCTGTTGCTCTAGCCAAACCCACTGAAAGCCTAGTCAACCTGGCCTGATATGAGTGAAGCTCTTGCTCTGAATCTGTGTAAACTATTATGATTTTAGCTAACATGGAGGTAGAGAATCGTGGAATATGTGAGTTACACCTTGATTAGATGCCGATGAGTCAAACCTAAAAAGGCCACATGGCATTGGTATGACCTAGAAGGAACCTTAAGAAAAAGACAAAGTGCCATCAACAGGGGGAAATGTCAGGAGAATGACAGGATGATATTTAAGCCAGACAAACTAATGTTTCAGTACGATAAGTTAAGATCAGGGCTTTGTTCCATGTTTTAGAGAGACTTTCCGCTTTTAGCCAGATGCTTAAGAAAAACATTTTCCACATGGCATTTATGTAGCAACTATAGCGTGTGTAAACAAAGAAAGAATGTAAGGGAACACTGGGACCATTAATCATTTGTTTTGCAAGTGCAAGAGAAAAAAGATTATTGTATATGGAGAAAAGGGGAGAAGAAAAGCAGATGAGAACCATCGGACACAGTTAGCTCTAACTGTGCTAACTGTAGACAGAGCTTTAAATAAGAACTCACTGAACAATAAATAGGCAGCAGGATGGATAGCTCAGCTGGTTAGAACGTGGTGCTGATAGGGCCAAGGTTGCAGGTTCAGGGGTTGGGCTAGATGATCCTCAGGGTCCCTTCCAGCTCTATGATTCTATGATCAGACTGGTGCCTGTTCCAAGGATGAAGCCTTGGGCTAATTTCTGGCTTGTTTCCACCTGGAAATTGAAGGGCTGGTCATCACCCCTCCTCTCCTGAAGATGTCACATTTGGTTGTCATAAGCCCTTGCTGATCCATAAATATTTTTCCTGTTGTGGCTGACACCCTATGGGCAGGTGTTCTTTAACTATAGGCATTTACATTGCCTCTGTAATGACTAAAATGGAATTGTAGCTTTTCACCTTCGAGGTCTGGATTTCTGTTCCTGATTACACTATCTGTACAATCCTAGTCAACCTTTCCTGCTGAGCTGTGTTGGGTATGTGGCTTTCCATAACCATAGGCTGGTAGGAATACGTGGTAGTTCTACCATTGATCTAGACCAGGGAGGAAGGAGAAAAGAAGACTCAGCATCGATGCCAATAGAACAAATTAAAGGGTTGCAATAGAAGAGTGCCAGGCCTACTCTACTTTTATTATAAAATACCAACTTCTATGCCTTTCAGGTAAGGTTGGGCTTGCTGAAAGTTTAAGGCAAGTTTAACAAGTAAAAACCTGCAAAATTGTATGAGAAAATATGATAGTAAGTGCAAAACACAGAGACTAACACTCAGAATGATTCAAAGAAGTGACATGGTTATGGCTTCCCCTGAACAACGAGCTCTTTCTGGAGTTTCAGCATCATGTGCAACCCCTGTATCTCAGAGGTAATTTCCCTCTCAATCGATTAGCATTTGTGAGACAAGTTAATGTTTGCTATCTCACATATAATTCTATAGCGATACTTGCAATACTTTTTGCACCTTCCTGGGTTTCCTGGGCTAAAATGGCTGTTGGTTTTGTTTTATTTGGGTTTGTTTGGTTTACAATATAGTTGTTGGTTTGGTTTGGTTTGGTTTGGTTTGGTTTGGTTTGGTTTGGTTTGGTTTGCCAACCAGAAAAACAAGTCAGTCAGGCTACTGGCCTAAAGGGAACAACTTCAGAGGGGAGTGATGAGTGCAGACATACCTAAGGGAAGGGTAATAGCTCAATGGTGGGGCATCTGCTTCATATGCAGAAGGTCCCATGTTCAATCCTTGGCATCTCCAGTTAGGATTGAGAGAGACCCAAGTCTGAGACCCTTTAGAACCACTGACAGTCGATGTAGACAATGCTGAGCTAGATGGGCCAATGGCCTTACTCAGTATAAGCAGCTTCCTATGTTTCTACAGCTAAGCTCTTACAACATAACAGTGATGAGAAGCCTGGGCTGCTCCAGATGCTGGACTACAACTCCCATCATCCCTGACCATTGGAAATGTTGACCGGGGTTGATGGCAACAGAAGTCCAAGAACATCTGCAGGGCCACAGGTCCCCATCAATAGAGCTTAGCTACCAAATGACACTGAGTGTACAGATAGGAGATGTACAGATATTGCCTTAAAATGGGCCATTTCGTTACCTCCTCTGCTGTATACAGCCTTGGCGTAATCTGGATGGTAGATATTGAGAAACCCCAAGAAAGCTCCAAACCACAAGGAATGACCCTTGGGATATCTCTCCGACCAGGACACCATTGTGGTAAGTTCTCCGATCTCGACCGAGCTGTGGCAATTGGGGACAAAAATCAAATCAATGCTATTATAGTCAACTAGGTGTGGACTTCCCGTTGTCCAGGCCATCTCAGGGTCTTAAGGCAGCCTGATAAACATTACATATAAAGATGGTCTCAGAAGCTTTACACTGGTATAACCAATTCTACCCAGCCTATATCCACCTAATATATCATGAAGTAATATACAAGTTTTTAGTTTTCCAAAGTCTTTGATCAGGCATGAGATGAAGCTGATTCCTAATTCCCAGCTCTGTATCTGTATGAGCAATCAGAACAAAGAAGTACATACGCTCTTAGACCCCTAAACAAGTTTGGGGCTACTGCATAACATAGATCTCCATGACCAGGGCTCCATTTTTGGAGATTTAGCATTCTCTCTGATCAAAAACATTTCAAGCCTGCTTTAAAGCACAAAGTCCCCAGGCCATCAGGGATCTCTCACTCCACAATAAGCAATGGGCTGCTTCATAGCATGCTTATCAGATACCTTCCAAAACTATCCCCTTAATCCTGTAATTTGTACCCCATTTAAGTTTCTCTCCTAAACCTCGTACTTTCCCCCAAACAGCAACAGCCTGGAAGCAACCTCAGCGTCATGGCGATATATCCCTGTGTTAGAATTAAATCACCAAATTCCTATAATGTGAGAAATGATTTAAGGTAGTGAATGGGTGTGTTGAATAGGAATTGGGTGCTGAACCAGAAGGCGACAGCACCATGGCTAGGGACAAGCAGCTTCTGGGGTAAAGTGCAGATAGACACTTCTAGCATTCATCTCATGTCTGCCTCTCTGTACGTGAAATTACATCCTGCTTTATAGGAATCTAGCTCACATTCTAACACATAGGTCATGGCACCATAATGTCTACTTTGCCCTTTGCCGCCCGCATTGTAGTTGCTCACGAAAAGTCTGATGTACCAGCAATGGCAACAGCACTACATTTGTTTGGCACAAAACATTACAATCACTCACTTTTTTTCTGAGTTCTACTAGATGGGATGAAGAAGTCCTACCTCATTGGTGTGTCCATAAAACCAATGCTTCGGTGGCCCTGGGAAGCTCTCCAAAGATCTGATCAGCTTTTGCCTCCTTTGGTATAGCCAGGTGACTTTCAGGAGCACGCTGACCAGACAGAAGGTAGCAGCTGCATAAAAAAACAGGTAAAGGTTTAACCCCAGTCCAGGCAAGGCGAGTTGCATTTTGCTCAGTATGAATTCCCTGGAAGCAGCTTCTGGGGCTCTTTGGTTGAAGTATGGCTGGGTGCAGCTCGTATGCAATCCTGTAGTAAGGCTATATATGAAACAAATAGGCGGGGACACCTTAGATATCATATTTCAGCAGGCTGGAATGAAGTGCAGCACCACTTCCAAAGTGAGCAAACAAACGGGGGGGGGGGGGGAGGAACAAAACACAGGGGTGGAGATCGGCATTTTACCGATTATGCTATAAATAATATCACTGCAGCTCAGGAGATTAACCTGAGTTAATCCATCAGCCTTTATAAAGCAAGGGCTCTTGGTGGCTATGCCTAAGGTATGGAATCTCAGCCACTGAATCAGACAAGGGCTAATTGCAAAAGCATTCTGTTTGCTTTTAGGGTTCAAGTTGGCGGATAAACGATCCATTGTGATCCAAGGCTCTGCTTAAGTTCTAGCGCAGTGTGAATGAGCTAAGCAATGTAAGGTGCAAGAGGCTAATCTCTATTCTTATCATTTACCATGCCTCCCTCCACCCAAGAATCAGATTGGGTGGCTGTTGGAGTGTGGTTGCAAAGGATACAGGTGCATCCATCCGTTAAGGCTGAACTCAGCAACATTGCCTTATAAGTCCATGCCTATGTATGTGTATGTGTTCTACCTGGAATGCCAGAGGCATTAATCTTTCAGGGGCAATGTGTCTGTTATCCCATTAATAACACTGGGCAACAATTTTTTACTTTTTGAATGTTGTCTAGATTTCTACAACTGATTTAGGGTATTTTTGCACTGCTGAATCAGGAAATGGCATCCGTTTCTCTCCATCTGGTCAGGTTTACTGTAAACTGAATGGTGGGCATTGATAAAGGTAAGTACACGTAAACTGCATGTTGCTTCACCATTTTTCAAACTTCAGGGCTTGAACTTCCGTTTCTTGCAACTCCAGGAATGCTCAGCGGCAGGGAGGTCTCTCTTCAGAGTCCAACAGTAGTCAGCCATCATGACTGCATCCCAGCGACCCTGATACCTGGTCTCCATCTCTTTCATGTCCTGATGGAATCTCTCCCCCTGCTCGTCACTCATTGAACCCAGGTTCTCAGGAAACCGGTCCATATGTGAAAATAGTAGCGCATCTTGACGCTCATGTTGCAGCCCAGGTTTCTGAAAGCAGTCAGCATGTTGTTGACAAGTTCTGCGTAGTTTCTGGCCTTATTGTTGCCAAGAAAGTTCTTCACTACCAGAACAAATGCCTTCCACGCTTCCAGTTCCACTTCGTTCACTGAGTTTCCGAACTCTGGATCTCTGATGAGCTGACGGATCTGAGGACCGTCAAAGATGCCAGCTTTCAACTTCTCCATGGTCAATCCTGGAAAAGCCTGGCACAAGTAAGTGAAGCAGTCACCATCCTTGTCCAGAGCCTTTGTGAACTGCTTGATTAAGCCGAGCTCGATGTGCAGCAGTGGGAAGAGTATTCTGCCTCTGTCCACCAGAGGGTCGTTGATGACGTTCCTTTCTTTGCAAGGCACCAATTCCTCCCGCACAGGCCAGTCCTTCTTCGTGTAATGCTGAGCACGGTCCCTACTATCCCACATGCACAGAAAACATGGGTACTTGGTGAAGCCAGACTGTTGTCCCAACAAAAAGTTCACCATCTTCAGGTCAACACAAATAAACCACTTATGCTGATCATAACGAATTTTCTCCAGCACATACTTCACCGCTTCATAGTTCTCCTTCAGTGTACTCGAGTGAGCCAGGGGTATACAGGCAAACTGGTTGCCGTTGTGTAGCAGAACACATTTCAGTGATCGCTTGCTGCTGTCAATGAACAGTCTCCAATCTTTGGGTTCGTACTGTGGCACTCCAAGCTTGAGCAGAAGCTGCGCAATATCTGCACAGTACACCAAGTCCTTCTCTTCCGAGAAAAAACGGAAGTACTCTTGATGCCTGTTGCGGAAGAAGCTGATGCGAGCACTGTCAGAGAGGAGGTTTTTTTTCCTTCAATCTGGATGCCAACAGTTCGGCAGAGTCCTTTGACAAGCTGAGGTCACGAACTAGATCATTCAACTCCTTTTGGGAAAATGGATGTGGAGCATCATCTTCAAGAACCACTTCTTCTTCATGTCCTTCAACCCTGGAGGCATCTTCATCACTAATGTCAGGAAGTTCTCCGAAGATAGGCACTGGAATTTCATCACAGTGAGCTACAGGACGACGTGCTGATTGAAGATCAGGATACTTGAGGCTGCCCCGGTTCTTTCTGTTGATCCCAGTCACATCAACAGCGCAGAAGTAGCAGTCAGTGACATGGTTTTATGACTTCAAACTGATCCCTTTTCGACATAATTACCCAGAACTATCGGACCTGAATACTTCTTGTCATTAAAATAATCATTTCCAATCAAAACAATTATTCAACATGGCATTTTACCCCCACCAACTTCTTCTAAAATGCTCCACACAAGCGTACATGTGAACAAAAACATAAAAAAGACATGTGGCAATAGCTCAAAAACTTGACCTGATTGAGCAAAACCAATGCGATTTTTGGATTCAGCGCATCAGATTCGTCCTAAATTGACTGAAAAAACGCAGACAACAAATTTGTTGTTGACCAGTTTAATGGGTTCAACCTACCTTTCTGGTCAAATGATTGCCAAATAGCCTTCTTTTTATCTGGATTGAGTTTCAGTTTATTGGCCCTCAACCAGCCTATTAGTGGCTTCATTGCAAATGAGACATGGAACTGGATATAATCTGCATATTGATGACACCTCATTAAGATTTCTGACCTATTCCAATGGCTTCATGTAAATATTGAAAAGCATGGCAGACAAAAATAGAATCCCATGGAACTTCATAGCAAGAGATCGAACACATTACCACTTTCTGAAACTGGACAAGGAAACAGGAATAGAACTACTGAAGACAGTACAGTGGTACCTTGGTTTAAGAACAGTCCAGTTTAAGAACAATTTGGTTTACAAACGCCGCAAAACTGGAAATAGTGTCTTGGTTTGAGAACTTTACCTCGGTCTAAGAATGGAATCCGAACGGTAGAAGGGCACCGGCGGCGGGAGGCCTCATTAGGGAAAGCGCGCCTCGGTTTAAGAATGGTTTCAGTTTAAGAACGGACTTCCGGAATGGATTAAGTTCATAAACCGAGGTACCACTGTATTTCTAGTTCCCAAACCAGCCAATTTGTCAAGAAGGAATGCAGCTGATGAGAGACCAAGGAGAAATTTCAGAGCCACATGCCCCCTCTTTCTCTCCTGTTAAAAGTCATCCATCAGAGGAGCTAAACCAGTTTCTGTGCTGAACCCAGACTGAAATAAATCTAGATTATCAGGTTCATCTAGCAGTTTTACATAGGGTTGACAGGTTTGAGGATGTAACGTGAAATTTCAGGGCTTTATCCTCTTTCATCTTACTTCTAGAGGAAGAAGGAAAAGCTTAGTTGAGGACAAAAACTTTGAGGACAGAATAGTTTTGTTTGGCTTGGCGATTTTTTGCTATATCTCTGTCCCCATGTTCATAAGGCTCTATCCTGAGCCACCAGACTCTGCTCCCTGACCCAATAGCTGCCATATTCCAAACACATTAACCAGGATATGCCCTTGGATTGATTGGTTGGTTGGTTGGTTGATCCACCCTGGGATGCTGGTGTTCCCAGGCTCCAATGATGATTCTCAGAATCTGAGCCTCAGGGAACAGGGTGACCTAATAACATACCAGGCTCTAGCAGTTTTCAAAGCAATTTATCCCGCGGTTTCTCCTGAAGAACACTATTTAGACAGCATTGATCTCATGTTGTTAGTGTGTAGGTAAACCTATAAAGTTATATATAGTTCGTTGAGGATGAGTTCTTGCCTACTTAATTCATGAAAGGAGGCCAGAGAACTCAAAACAGATGAGAAAAAGGTTTTACAGGAATATGCACCCAACACCCCATATGAGCTATTAGAGGTAGTGCTGAGCAGGCTCTCTCTTGCTTCATGCAGAAAGTCACCAGAGCTAATTTGGCTCACATTATTATCTCATTTAAGATCAGCACCATTTTAAGCAAAGGCCAGGGGAAGCAACCTGGAGGCCTGCTAATGCTAACTTCCCCCCACACTTTTCAAAAACATGGGGCGGCAGCTTTTCTCTGTTTATGCTATCAGTAGTAATGAGTGCATGGAGTGTTAGGGGATGGGCAGTACCTCTGGTGGGGGATATGTTGTGCTCCTTCTAGGGTAGTTTGTCTAACTTAGGTCTCCACCCTACACTCAGCTCCTAGAAGCTGTCAGCATGTGACAGTGGCCACACCCCAGGAAATAGCTTCAACTGGCAGACTAAACCAGAGGAAAGTAGCCAATGAGTCTCAAACCCTCTGTGAGTTAGGGTCTTCGCCTGCATGCAAAGACAGGCTCCAGTGGATTGAGCCAATGAAACCAATAATACGTTCAATGGTCAAGAATGTGGTTACTGCACGGGCCATAGAGGAAAATGAGGGGAAGAGGGGGCTTATCAATCTGGGAAGATATTCCATATTGGAGAAGGAAAACGCTGATCCTAAACCTCCACTGCCTTCTGGCTATACTCATTCATGAGAAAGACCCCAAGGAAAAACCCATACCTGCTGCCTTGCACAACCTCTTCAGGAGAAGAAAAGGCTAAGGAGTAAACCCTACACAAATCCAGAGTGGAGCCCCTAAGATGATTGAATGGCGTATTGTCCACTTCCTTCTGGCAATTCCTGCAGCCAAACTGGTGCTCTGCTTTCCTTTGGGCCATATCAGTGAGGCCAAGGGGGTGGGTCTTGTTGTATGAGCAGCCCAGGACCTCCATACACACTGCCCAGGTGGTCACTTCAGTGCTGCTAATACAGCAAAAACAACATGGTAGGCAGCAGTTAAGAGTTAGTGGTTTCAGCAGCCACAGCAAGTGCTGTTATTCTCCAGCCGTTTGACTTCACCTTTGTCTCTTGAGACGGACTGATGCCAATACAGCAATACAACTATCAGTACAGCTAGTTAACCTGAGTTAATCATTAAGCCTTTATAAAGCAAGTGCCCCTGATAGCCATGCCTAAGGTATGGA